TTGCTGACACACTTGCTAAGAAGGGCACAAGGATTTTGTAATTCATGGACAGCCCGATGTCTTTCCACACAATGAAGACCTTAATCAGGAGATCCGATGTCTTTCAACACAATGAAGGTCTTAATCAGAAGAGAATTCCAGAACTCAAGGTGCAACGAATTTAAAGCTCGAACAAAGGAGAAAACATACCTCAAGGTGCAACGAAATTAAAGCTCGAACACAGGAGAAAGACCTCAAGGTGCAAAATTAAAGCTCGAACAAAGGAGAAACAGTGGCACTCTCCGACATAGCCGACTGGAAGAGAATTCAAGACCTCAAGGTGCAACGAACTCAAAGCTCGAACAAGGGAGAAATAGTGGACAGTGGCACTCTCCGAAATAGCCGACTGGCTAAGAATCGAACAGTAACACTCTCCGACACAGCCGACTGGCCAAGAATTGAAGCCGTTGCTGAATTTAGACTACGTACCGGACACGATTGCCTGGTAAAACACCTTCACAGATTGGGAGTATGCACTCAACCCACATATACTCTATGTAACCTACAGGAGGAAATGGAGAAGTCCCACCTGTCTATGTGACCTACAGGAGGAAACGGAGAAGACCCACCATATGTAACCTACATGAGGAAATGGAGAAGACCCATCTGATCTGTAACCTACAGGAGGAAATGGAGAAGACCCACCTGATGTGAAACCTACAGGAGGAAATGGAGAAGACCCATCTGATTCTCTACAGGAGAAAATGGAGAAGACCCACCTGATTCGGTGTTCACACAGGAGGAAATGGAGAAGACACACCTGATTCGGTGTCCACAGGAGGAAATGGAGAAGACACACCTGATTCGGTGTCCAGCTCTTAAGACAATGACGGAAAGCCAGACATACTGGGAAGGAAGAAGACAGCTAATGAACTGCTATATATGTACCCCCCACCCATAGGGAAAGCTGAAGTGAAAGTTTAAGGGCTAATGATAAATATCATAAAGCCTGCCATTTGAAATAATAATAATAATAATAGTAATATCCAAAGTCGACCCCCGAATGTATCGATTTAGGGCCACAGAGTAATCAGCGCTAATGCTTCAAATCGAAGCTCTGCACTCCTTGATTCCACAAGATAAGGAGAGATCAAAGATCGACTGACATGTATTGAATTCTGAAATTAGATAGTAAAACGGAACTTACTCCTCATGTATGACAGTCAAGTTGGAATATAACAACTAAGACCAAAATCCGCATGATGTTAATTGTCATTGGCAATCTTAAATGAACTTAATTGGAAAAAAAACAATAACTGAGCGTTGTCATACTTACATAAACACAAAAGTATAGTGCACAAGACAAAATAACACAAAACAGAGGTGCGCCATGTGCAAAGAATATTCATACAGTAAGAAGTCTATAAACAGGCAGTTAACTTCAAACCAGCATGATCCCACTGAATGCCATATTTCACCACTTCTACAGTACTCATCTTACCTTTTTTCTGCCTTTGTGTCTATCTGTCTCATTTACATCTTTAAAACACTCTTCTGTGCCCCCCCCCACTTTGATGTTCCTCCTCTCCTCTGTGAAGCCTGAAGTCAACTAAAGGACTAATGATAACTATCACAAAGCTGGTCATTTGAAAAAAACCCCAAAATAACAAAAACAAAATAAATACTTGGTAATTTGAGTTCATCCCGAGTGAACTGTGCTAAAATTGGGTAAGCAATTATCTCCCTAATTGCTTGAAAAACACAAGAGGATACGCTTATTTGGATGGACAGACTTTCGGAAAACCCCGGTTTAGTAAACAGCCAATTCTGCAAACCGCGCAGCACCGATTGTACACAACACCTCAAAAATTTTAAATTCGACAAAAGAGAAAAGTAACTGAGTGGGTATGATTTTGAAATATGGGGTGTGCGATAGACTTACTTCCATGTGGTGCACCCGGGCAACATACACTCATACAGCAAAAAAGTCTATTAACTGGCAGATGACTTCTGACTTCAAACTACCATGACCCCATTGTATTTCATATTCGACTACTTCCACAGTACTCATCTCACCTTTTTTTCTACCATTGTGTCTGTCTCTTTTACATCTTTGAAATCCTCTTCTGTTCCCCCCCTCTCTCTCTCGACTTGTTTCACTTTGGTGTTCCTTCTCTTCTGTGAAGCCTGAAGTCAACTAAAGGGCTAATGATAACTTTCACAACACCTGCCATTTGATATAAATAAATTTTGAAATATAAATTTTTCTTGTAAAAAGTATGTTCCACCAAGTGCAGATCTTCAAAGGTAGAAAATTTCCTAATTTTTCGCCACCAGTTTGACCTTTACCAATACTTACTCTAAGCACATAGGAGCGATGAGTTCAAATTGCGAAAAAAAACTTGCCATGGAATCTCGACCAGTTCGATAGAGTTTTGGATTTGCCATAAGAGTTCGATCATCAAGCGAATTGTCAAAAGTACCCAGAACGAATGGAGGGATACTGGTATATAACAAGTTGAACATCACTTGGCTCAATTGATCAATGTGTCCACTACCCGAGAATCCATTGAAAAATTGGAACCAAAAAAGGGAGAATATATACACCTATAACACAAAGACGAGTCTTAAATGAAGTGGGACTAGACTGAAGAAAAGAAAAAGCACCGAGAACACACGGCATCTTTGTAGAACATGTAGAGGGCCGTTCGTGCGAGTTTCTCGTAGCACTCATGCCCGTGGACGAGGAGGAGACGTTTGAGGTAGCGGAATTGAGTGATCGCAAAGTCCGACGCCATGGCAGCTTGCATACCCTCTTGACCACTAATCCCGATTCCCACATCAGCGCATTGAATCATATTTACATCGTTACCACCATCTCCTATTGCCAGTGTCTGTACGCGTAGTTCACGCTTCACCATTTCCACTACTGAGGCCTTGGAGTTGAGGCAAAAGAAAAGGAGACTATTGTAAATTTAGAAGGCGAGGAATAAATCAAATCGTGCAGATAATCCCACTCTGAGTGCCTTATCGTTGTGGCATTTCATACATTTGCTTTCAATCCATCTACCTTACTTTTATTGCGCAGTAAATCGGCACCTGACGTGTTTGATTCCTTGAATTAATATTATTTATATTCCAATCCATATATTTGCAAAGTGACAAGTCGATTAGTTTCGAGACTTCTGACTTCCATCTACTCTATCTCCTGAGTTTGGAGTTCTGTAGCAGTGGTAGTATTCCAGTGGACAAATAAAGATAAAGCAAAATTATTTTTGCTAAAAGGAGCCTAAAAATATATAATTCCAAATTTCTTTGACTTCTTAGCTAACAACAATTGCTAAGTCAAACCCAAGTAACTATTGTCACGGTCTTATAGGCTAATTATCTCTATTATCTATTAATGCGACACAATTTAAGTCTATCCTTATATTGGCCTTCATGGGGTGTGGGATAGACTTATCTCCTCGTGGTGCACCCTGGGCAACGTATAATCATACGGCAAAAAGTCTTTTAACTGGCAGTTGACTTCTGACTAAAAACTACCCCGTCAATTACCTGGCAGTTGACTTCAAACTACCATGATCCCTTTTAACTGGCAGTTGACTTCTGACTAAAAACTACAATCACCCCACTGTATGTCATATTTGACTACTTTCACAGTACTCATCTTACCCTTTCTGGGTCTTTGTGTCTGTCTGTCTCTTTTAGATCTGTGAATCACTCCTCTATTCCCCCTCCCGAATTCTTCTCACTTTGATGTTCCTCCTCCCCTCTGTGAAGCTTGAAGTCAACTAAAGGGCTAATGATAACTATCAAAACGCCTGCCATATGATATAAATAAAAATATAAAATATAAAAATAAATAAAATATTGGCCTTCATTTCGCCAGTGGCCCGTTGCCTCCACTATGACTTCAGGAATTACAATTTTATTGAAGACAAAACGTTAGAAGTTATTGAAACACGCAACGCGTAAAAGCTTCGCCCCTTTAGACACAAAAGCATTGGGAAGTCATGCTAGTAGTTGCTAATAGCAACGCAACAATAGCCATAAAACACCAACTCTTAACAGCAATCATTTTCCCAACAAACGACCTCAAGAATTAATACTTGTCGTTTTATGGAAATACACATTTTGAAATAGGGTACCTTCCAAGTGACGTTTTCTCTCCAAATTGATACACGCATTTAATGTTTCATTATGTCGCAAAACAAGTGCTATAAGTAAGAGGAAATGCGCTTCCAGATATTTAATTGATTGGTCAAGTTATCAAATCCCTATGACTCGCATATGGGGTGTATGATAGACTTACCTCCACGTGGTGCACC